GGTTTCACCAGTTTTGCATCTACCTTACATAGTTTTCTGATGAGAATGTCATGTTCCCCTATAAAAGCAAGGTACTAAGTTTGCCCTTCTCCAGTGTTTTTTAAAGACCATGATAAAAATTCAAATGTAGGCATACACTCAGCTGCTGGTATGTCTTGGTGTTGGGTGCTCAATCCCCAAGGAACAGACAAGATTAAAAAGAAACAAAACAAAAAGCCCTTTAAATCTTTTGAGATAATTATTTCAAAGTGTAAAAAATAATGAAAATGTTCACAGTATTAAAATATGCTGATTACAATCAGTCCAGTTTGATTATTTCTTCATGATCAGAAAGATCTGCTGAATAATGGACTAAACTGACTTCAGAAAATGGTGACATCATTGCAGAAATCTGTATGTACTCACTTCTTTTTTTTGTAAACAAAACTAATTTTAAAAAGTGAGTTTTTAAGATGTCTTAAGTTTCAAGATGCAGGCACATAAACATCAGCAAAATTTGTAATTTCTGATTTTGACTCATTTCTGCCAGATACTCTTTAAAGATAAAGAATGTTTTATCTTTGGAGATTAAAATTAGATTTTTTTAATGAACTGTTTAACTAGAAGGATTCAGTGTTAACTAAATTATTTCATTTAAAAGAGTTATTCAGCTTCGTCAAAACCCTGGCTTTCAGAAAAGGGTCAACAGCAAAATGGATTTTAGCTCTTTTTACACTTGTTTAAGTATGGTTTTAGAAGCAAGTGACAGTTTCAAAAAGACTTGTTTCATATATTTAGAATACCTTAAATACTATAAAAAAGAAGCGTACAATGCACTCACTCTCTCTCAAGATTTCATTGTGCTCCATTCGAGGCCTCATAATTCATCCACCTGGGAACTGCATTACCACCTCTACTGTGATCCTACCTTTATCCCTCAAGTACATTTTGAAAACACTGTAGAACAAATGATACCGCATTGCAAAAGTGTCAAGGAGTTTACTTAAACACACAATACCATAATAGGTGCAGTTCTCTACTGCTTTTCTATCTCACAGATATTTGATCATGAGGAACATTATTGCTGGGGAAGTGGGGTGCATATAGACTTTTAACTCAATTGGCTATAGAAAAAATTGAGAACATACCAGATAAAGAAGATGATGCTGAAATTAACCCACACAGCAGATTTATGGCAATTTTTTTAATTACTAACTTGACGTTTTCTTTGTTTCTACAGTTTTCTTTGTTTCACTATTATCTGTACAGGGTGATCTCCCTTCCCTTCTCAGACTTTTGTGAATGTGGGAATTCCAAACATGGGGGGGGGGGAAGATTTCAGAATTATATTGATTCTACCCCTTCCATTTCCAGTGTCCCACCCTCCTTCCTTGCAAGCTTTTGACCCCTGCTTTCACTCCTACTCTTGTTGTTACCTCCTGTATCTGCTATCCATCTCTGCACCTCCTTTGCTCCCCTTTTACTCCCGTTTATTCCCAAGTACAGGGCTCCTACCCACCTTCACCCTCCTCATCTTTGTATTCTCCTTTTATACTTCACTCTAGTAATGGATGTGTTTGTGTGGGTCTGCGTGAGTGTATGTTTGTGGGTCCTGCAATCCGCAGTGTCTGCTCCTTCTGCACTTCCTCCTGCACTCCACCTCGCAGCACCTGCTACATACACAGCATGGCTCTGTCCTCTCCCTCCCACTAGCAATTTACATTTTTTAGCCAGACAGAGTGCTAGAGAGCCAGGCTTATTTGTGGACAGCAGGAAAGGGACCAGGTCTTGCAGGGAAAAGGTCCAAGTGCTGTGAACAGTGGTGGTGGAGAGGGATGGTTACTACATTGCCTTCTATGAAGAACTGAGCAGAGAAGGTGCAGGGGGGCTCAGTAGGGAATTGTTGGAGTGCTAGTGAACCCATCAAAGATGATTTTGTTGATGACTATGACGGGTTCATCTGGACTCTCCTTACTGTGGCATTCTAGGAGGCTGACTCTCTGGTAAATGCCCAGTTGCCCAGCAGTCCACGCCATGCCTCCTGCTTACTGCTATGATATATAGAGAAGCATATTGTGCTAAGGACCGTTTCCTTTTACTAACATAAAATAATAAAAGTCAGTACTTCTATAACAATTTTCACCTACAGATCTCAGAGTGCTTCATAAAGGAAATTGTCCCCAATATACAGATGGGGAAAGTGACGCTCAGGAAAGGACTCTGTAGAAAATATAATACAGACATTGGGCTGTATGAGCTTTACCAAGTATTCCTTGTTGCACTGGAGAGGGGGTAACTTGCATCATACAGGGCCGCCCAGAGAATTCAGGGGGCCTGGGGCAAAGCAATTTTGGGGCCCTCTTCCATAAAAAAAAGTTGCAATACTATGGAATGCTATATTCTCATGGGGGCCCCTCTGGGGCCCGAAGCAAATTGCCCCACTTGCCCCCCTTCTCTGGGTGGCCTTGGCATCACAAATCTTTCCCTGGGTCCCACGCTGACCTGCCTGCTCCTTCCACTGTCCCATCCAGTCTCCTCAGCATAAACCTCAGTCCCATAAAGAAGCTGCCACGTTGTCTGTATTCAAAAACAGGGTTGGTGTCTTGGAGGCAGCTGAGCCCTCCTTTCATGCTCGGTGATAGCAAGGCAAAAATGCACATGAGTCTAAGGGGATTATTCTGGGTCCATATATTTTACATTTTCCTGGACTAAAAATAGAATTTGTCATAACCTAATCACAATAGTAACAAAATGAAAATGAAATTATTTGTAAGCAGGAAACTCTCCTGTTATTCCACATGTAAAATATTCATGCAGTGGAAACAGTTCATGTAGCTCAGGACTTCAATCAGCTCCTTGAAATTGTCCTTACCACCTTTTCCTTACCACCTTAGTTTTCCCCTGTCAGTCAATGCCAAAACTATGAATGCCCTAAAGATATTGTTTAAAATAGTATCACCAAAAAAAAGTACATGTTAATGTGAGCTTATCCAATGTTAATTGTAGATACTTTTATAAAAGCATTAATCCTATCCCAACCCAAATCAATAATCAATCAGCTTCCTTATAGCAATTATCATTTATTCACCACGCCCAAGAATTTACTTCAAATGATTTCGGTATTGAAAATTTGAGACACTTTGAAATTAATTTTCATTACTTTGTTTTGAAAACCTGCTAACTGCCCAGAGCATCATTATAGCTGTAGAAGTCATTGCATTAACAGTAAATCTACAGGAGAAGAATCCCTTGAGGGATTTCAGTAGTGTGTAGTATCTTCACCTCTAATTCAAGGGAAAATCGATTAACATCTGAATTAATAATGACCATCAGTCTTGAAGACCATTACATACAAAATGGAATCACTTTCAGTCTGTTTCTTTACAAATTTGCTCTTAGTGTTTGAATGAACAAAACAAGAAGGTGACATATAAACTAAATTATTGAAATCACATTATACTGAAAGAGCAATTATGATGTGAAAAGCATTTCTCTTTGCCGAATAGTAGATATTAAAATGCAGTATTTTAAGCAAGCCTCCTTCCAGAGATGATGACCCCTTGATAGCCCAGACACTATAATGTTATCATTTTGTGGCATGTATGATTGCACTGTATTTTATTTAATATAGCAATTCACCCTACCCAGATTTTGATGCCTCTGTTTAAACCCCTATTGAAACTAGAAGGACAAACTGAAATATGGATGAATTATCAGTAAGTGTGAACTTCACCCACACTTACATCATTTAATGTTTGACTCGACTTGGAAATAAGGAATTCTATTTTTTTTTAAATTAGAACTAAGAAAATTAAAGACTTTTATTAAATGCTCCAAATAAAAACAAGACAGATACAATGCCATGGTCAAGATTATTGTTTAATTTCATATGAATGTGCTAATTCTGAAGAGCTTGATTTGATGTTAACCTATTAGCTGCCTGCTTTGGACCATGCAATTTCAAATATTTTTTTTAAATACTCTAAAACCCAGAAACTCTAAATTTTGACAAGTAAAAGGTATCTGGGGCCAGTGACAAATGTTGAAAACATTTTAGATGAAATCTCTTGAGTTGGTGCAGCTATTAACATTTTCCTGAAACAAATCAACAATCACATTCCCAAACTCCTTAAAAGATTGAACAGTCCCTTTTAGAGATTTTTAAATGACCTGGGGGCTGTTGATAAAACCAAGAAGCATGACTTAAAACCCCCCATCTCCTATCAATCATAGAAACCAGAGGATTCTTTTTTTCATATGGCGATTGTCTGGAAAACTTAGAAAATAATGTACAGTAACTCCTCACTTAAAGTCGTTCCGGTTAACATTGTTTTGTTGTTATGTTGCTGATCAATTAGGGAACATGCTCATTTAAAGTTGTGCAATGCTCCCTTCTAACATTGTTTGGCAGCCTCCTGCTTTGTCCACTGCTTGCAGGAAGAGCAGCCCGTTGCAGCTAGCTGGTGGGGGCTTGGAACCAGGGTGGACCTGCTGTTTATGTAATTACACGTGTGTGCGTGTGCATGTGGAGTAAAGTGTCTTGGCTGAAAACTGACCTGGATTTTCAACCTTAAGATCATTGTCTGAAGCATATAGATTTCATAGCATCAGGAGTAGACATCTCAGTCACCACACTGTCACCACAGTCTGAAGGTAAAATCTTGGCTTTACTGAAGAAAATAAGAGTCATTGACTTCAGTGGGGCCAAGATGTCACCCCAGTTCTTCAGATTTCCAATCCAATAAAAAATAAAATTACTTCAATTGATTATAGCAATTACTTCATTTCAATGCCCCTATAGTTTTGGTGCTGAAAATTCTGCTACCAAAGCATGCCATAGATTCATCATCTTGTCATATCAGATGAAAATAAAAAACCAGGTCACTTAATATAAATTTTCAACAGTCTACCAAAAGCTCACATTCCCTGGTGTGTAATTTGTCACAAGAAGATGATCAATACAATTTATTATCAACGGCAATTCATTACAATGTCAGACAAATGAGCAATTCGTACAGTACCTAATGCTGCTCATGCTTCCAGTCTCTGATCCAAGCTTACATCTCTCCAGTTGGCTGGCTACAATCTGGCGTTCAGCCTCAAGTTCTCGAGTCAGTCTCTCAAACTGCAGCTCCTGAAACACAAACACAAACATTCACTCAATGATCTTTGCAAGGATCAGAAAGAATTTCAGTTCATGTGTCAAATTATAGCTTGTGAAATAAGTGTTACTATGACAGCTTCTATGAAAAGCTTCCCCCACCCCTCTTTTTAACACATTCACAGTCCAAATGTATATGATAACACCTGCTGGTTCTCTCATAATTCTGATCATGTGCATTATAAATGGAGTTAGTTTATTTAGGGTGAAATTTTCAAATGAGCTTAAGTGACAGACTCATGTCAAAATTCCATCCTTAATGCATATGTTTTTCTTAATGGTGGTGTAATAGGTTTTCACTAAGCTGATACAAGGATGCTAAAACAAAAGGAGCAATTTTTGACATTTATTAAGACTCAGCTAAGGGATCTGTAGAGAATAATACATGGTGATAAAATCTTTTGTATATTCATCATGCAACATAATGTAGTATAGACTGGAAAAATAAACTATAAGATAGAGGTAAGTATGTTTTTATTGGACACATATTGTTTAATTTCAGCATCTTGGTGTTGTGTTGGAGGTAAACTCTTGTGGTTTCAGAGCAGCCCCTTGTTAAAATCCTGCCACTAACTGATGGTAGGGTTAGGGTAATGTCCCCGGTTCTCTGGATATTACCAAGCCAGAGATGACATAGCCATAGAGCTCATAAAATATTTCTGAATTTTTTTAAAATGCACCAGATTGCATCAAATGTAAGTTACCCCCCCACACACACACACATCCAACTCCCACAGAGCACACACCCCGCCCCAAAAAACCCAACCACATTACAAGGTGAGTATAAAATGAACACCCACTACAAGATCTTCAGTTTTCCGCAGGCTGTCCGAACATGTAGAGTACTCAGTATATTTTTCAAGAACAAAGAATATTTCAGCAAAGTGCACTTATTATAAGTTTGTCAAGTTATGCTGCCTTTTCTCCTTGGTTATAGTTATGAGAAAGCTAGTGTACTTGGCTGGCCCTTTAATGTGAGCTAGGTCCAGCCTCACCTGTGACAGATACAACTCCCTCCCAGCTGAGACTGATCATCCGAGGTCAATTATAAAAGCCAGCAAGTGGCTCAGCGGAGTAGAGAGTTGCCAGAAAAGCACTGGGTTGTGTGGGGGAAGAAGAGAGACACAGGCGGAGGTAAAAAATGTTGTGAGAATCCCTTGTTAAAATACTGGCAACACATCACTGCTGAATCTGTGTGTTCTCATGTACACATTCTCTCTCTCTCTCTCTCTCTCACACACACACACACACAAAAGCAGAAACAAACAAATTCAGTACTATCACACAACAAGTAGTCGGTGTGATGACTATTCTGTCGCTTGCACTGCATTTACCACCATAGTATCCCACAACATTATACTTAATATACAAAACAAAACAATAACATGTTTGAGTCACCCTTCTGGATGACTCAGTAAAAACACTGCACCATTATTCACACAGAGTTCCCCCTCTCTCTGTTTTTCATAATAGTAACTAATTGATAAATGAACTAATTAAAAGCCTGGTTAAACAGAATCACTTTTTATCAAACCCTGACAAGTGCCATGTTCTGTTATAGCAATCAGTTACACTGATTTCTAAAATGGAAGAGCCCTAATCCAATGCCTAGTATTGTTCTAGACCCCTATTCTGGGGAAATATAAACTTCTAGCACTGAAAATAAGAGTCCCTAAATTCAATCCTGAGCTTCCCCAATCAACAGGGTCTAGCTGTATAGATCACTGAGCTCCTGTGAGGAAAGATTCCCTTCCCTGCATTGCTGTCCAGTAGCCTCCTTTTGCTGGTTAACGGAGTGGTGTATGATGGACTACAGAAACACACTTTCTTCCAGTGTTTATTTAAAAAAACGTGCAGAACTGAGCATTTGAAAGGGAGAAGGAAGTAACAGAAGGTTCAGGAATTTTCACCCCTCCCTCCTGTTGCCTAGCTCCCAGGTCCAGGAACCAAAAGCAATCTGAGTGAGATTACATTTCTCTAATCTCAGACATGGTTCACTTCAGTTTCCAAGGTGATGAAATGATAAGGCTAGTTCTTATTTTATCCAATTCGGTCTCGTCACCCCCCTTATACTTGGTAATATTGGCACAGAATAATGTAAGCCCTGCATATAAAATGAGACAGGATCTCAGCACAAGGTGAGAGTGGCAGGATGCAGACCAAGTGTACTTAAAATAGCCACTGACATTTGACGGAGGCCATTTTAAGTATTTGGCACTCAATTATTATTCCACTTAAGATTTGCCTGAATATGAATACCACCAAAACAGCCAGAGTGTGTAAGGAGTGAAACCAAACTGATTATCTGTTGCATCACTACCCATATAATAGGTGTTTAAATTCCATAAGTAATTATGTATGAACACCATAACAATAACCAATGACGACCAAAGTTATTCTGGTTCTACTACTTAGGTGCCATGTTTCACACTAGAGGTTGCTGCATCTTAGTGGCAGATGAAGTATTTTTAGAGTAGTATATGCAATTTTAAAAACATGTTGGGTCTTTAGTGGAGTTATGCTAGTGGTGAATTACAATACTTACTAGACAGTCTAAAAATTGAAATTAACTTCATGCGTATAGAATTCCCACTAAAGTCAATGGGATATGCATGCACATATCTGAGGACAGAATTCAGTCCCATGTTACTGGGCTGTTTATTTTAAATGTGGAGGTGTTACTGTGTTTGTGTGTATTTACATTTTTCTCTGACTTTATTCAGCTTTTTATAGTTGCCTACTTCATATTCAATATGTATTTATTTGCTTACCTAGTAGAACAAATTATCCAAGAAGCTGAAAAGACTGTTGATCAACTTTGCAAGAACTATTACATGCATGCTCACAAGACATGAGCAATATATTATTCTTACTGCAGAGTTAGATATAATACAAATTTTATTTAAATGTTTGGGAGAATAAAATCACAATAACATAACAGAGAACTTTTTCTACTTGCTACTGTGCTTGCATAGTGGATGAGAGCACTTCAAATAATGAGATTTTGAATTCATAAAATAATAAAAAAACTACTAGTATATAATGCAAGAAGTTCATTTTTTTCAAAATAAAAATTAAATTACACAGTAATTATTATGTAGTAACTAGGATATGTATTCAGACAAATGTATGCACCTTTGAAGATGAGGAGCTTTGTTCTGCAACTTGACACCTTAGAGGGAAGTTGGCCAGTCATTGAATTTGGTTTGGCTTATTACACAAAGCTCATTCTCACCTGCCCAATGAGAGAAATGCACAGATAGTCTTATACCTTTTCAGGGGAAGTATAAGAATCAAAGAAGACTCAGGACACCAGTATTTTGCCTGCCAACAATCTCCCTCCTCCTTCCCTTTCCCCAGCCCTGCCAGCAAGGATGGATTAAGAGAACACTTGGTATTAATCCATCAGAATTGTAAGGCTGCAAATGTATGTTCAAACTTATGCAAAACTTGATAAACAGTTTTTAAAAAGACAGGATTTGCCATTTCAAAAACATAACTGCTACACATGCCTCCCTGCTACTCTGGAACGTGGCGCTCTTACACACTTGCCATCTCATAGCTCCTCCAGCCTTCACAACCACCTGCTGGTCAGGAGGCCACTTTATAGCTGTGACTCAGACCAGTGCTCTATCTCGTCACCTCCCTGCAAAAGCAGGTAAAAGCAACAAGGGGGTCATGACAAAAGAGATTGCTTATTTCAAGGAAATGGATGTCTGATGCCATTGACAAGTCCTCTTGCTGGGCTCAGTCCTGTCTACACTATAGTCATTAACTACTATTTCTATTGCTGTTAGCCCACCATGCTCCGAGCACACCCATCATTACTCCAGGGAAAGACTACTCCAGCTCCACCCATTCTCAGAACTCAACGAGGTTACAGCCCCAAAATATATCCAGAAGACCCACCATGGCTGGATGACACTGCAAGCCCTGTGCTGGTACATCTCATCTCCTCACGATATTCAGAAAATCACAGCTCTAGAAGGCAGGTGGCACTGCATTCCTCTTCTATGCAACCATCAAATGCAAGAAAGATGCCTCAGGTAAGACAATTTCATTTGAATTCATATTTATGACAGTAGAAATCAGCACCAAAGATAACACAGACTTTATACTCATTACAGACCACCACAGACTAATGGATTAATAAAAGGAGCTCACTGATACCTTGTCAGCCAGCAATGGTGGTGAAATGCCCCAGACTTGTCATCTGGGGAGATTTCAGCATGCATACTGACAGGGACGCAGATGCAAAAGGCCAAAAACTCATCTCCTCATTTGCCTACCTAGGAATTTCACAGGTCAATTCTGGTCCAACCCACACAACTGGTCACACCTTGGACCTAATTTTCAGTCTAGATGTTAAGACAGTGGACATCACAACCCAGTCACTGTCCTGGACAGAGCATTACATCATTAAGGCAGTGGTCAGAGACCTTCCATCACTCAGGCAACAAGAAAGACCAATGACCCTGATTTGACCACAAAGATTCATGGACTCAAGGAGAGACGAAAGCACGCTAAAGGACAACAACGCCTCATCCACAGGATGAGGAGTCGAGGACTAGGTGAATCATTACCATTCTACACTGTCAGCCTTTGACATGCTAGCCCCCAAACTGCCTCTTCCTCCCCATTAATCCACAGATGTCCGTGGTTTTCTGACACACTGTGATATATGATGAGAGAAGGGCAGAAACTCAAGCACCAATGGTGGAAAACATAGGCTGATTGAGACAGGATGAAACAATGAATTCTTCAAAGCTTATGCTATACTAACTCCAAGAGAACCTTTCTATGAGCTTCCATTGAGGATACCAAATCCTTCTCCAAGGAGCTAACCAGGCTGGTAAACTGATTAATTAATCTGGAATACCTTCAACCTGCATTGGAGTTCTTCATCACACTAGGTGCACAACTATCATCCTACTTCACTGAAAAGATCCAGGAAGCCTTCACAAACAGCATGG